GGGGCGGCCGGAGCGGGGCCGCCGCGGAGCATCCCAGCGGCTCCGCAGCCGAGCAGCAGCGCGTCGCCGGCAGCGAGGGCTGCTAAACACATTCCAAAAACAAAAAGTGACAAAGTGGAGCCCATCTGGTTGATGGAGCCTGCTGGGCTTTCTAGAAGGATCTTGATAAGAGGCTTTCAAGGAAACCAGTTAGCAGTGGCGAAAGAAAACAGGCTTTGGACTGGATAAATACTCCGTGCAACGATGGTAGGGGGATGGAGATGCCGTGTGGATCCTGCTGTGCAGCTCCTGGGCGCACGTTCCTCGTTGGGATCTGCGCTTGGGCCTCTTCAGCGTGGCGCACACGAGTGGGAAGGAGCTGGGCAGGCAGGGGGCTGAGGACAGGAGCCGGCTGAGGAGCCGCACAAGGGCCTTTGGAAAGGGCCTTTCGAAAGGGCCTCTGGGCCGGAGCAGCTGAGCAGTGAAATGTCACGCTAAATTCCAGATAGATACAAGCGACGCAGACAGCCCAAGAACAGCCTAAACTCAAAAGAAAATGACGGGATCCAAACTGCCTTACTGCACGGGAGGAAATGCTTGGGATCGCGACGCATCTTTCTGTGAAAAGCTCACGGCAGCGCAGAGGCGGCAGGGCCCAGGCGAGGCAGCTGAGTGCCGGGCTTGGAAAAGGAGCGGAGAGCAGAACATGGGCCCTCTGCATGAGTTCATGAACATACTAAAAGCTGTGTGCGCTTCTAAGGAAGGACGGACTAGGCTGAACAAAAGGTTAAAAAGATGATGAGCAGGCAGAGCAGCTTCCATGTAAGGAACTGCTAAGTAAGCTGCAATCTGGAAGAAGAGGAAAAAAAAAAAAAAGAGAGAGAGAGAAAAGAAGGTTTTTTTAAGCTAAGAGAATGCTAGCAACCATGAGTGATAGGGAAAAAACGAAATGCAGAACCAAAATAGTTTTCTTCAAAACCAGAAAGATTAGTTCCATTCCTAAAATAAGATACGATATTCTGGAACACAAGCAGTAACTCAAGAAATGCTGCTAGTCAAAACATTTTTTTCAGCTCATCTCTCCAATGTTATAAACTGTCCCGCTTGCAGCGCCCGTGTTCCCCGGTGCTAAAGCAGCGCTGTCTCCCTGGTGCCAGCAGGATCAGGCGGTTTCCCCGCTCCTGCGTTGTGTATCCAACTTCCCGTGGAGCCGGCCAGACAATGGTACAACAAACGCAGGATAGATTAGTCACTAGTTAGATAAGGCCAGACGACAGAATGCCTCCCAAAATAGCCTTTGTAATGGAAAACCTGGGAGTCAATTCACATCTGGCTCTGTGCTTTGCAGCTACACTAAAGGCAGTCCCTTCCCTTGCCTTTCCTAAGCTCGGTTCAAAGCTGCTCCGGTTCCTT